GTAATTTGGAATGTGTTTGATAGCTTTTGTGTTGTGTCCCTATGCTGAGATGAGAGTTGTGATAAGTTATGCAATGTTACTTGAAAATGAAGCAAGCAATGGTCACTTTGTGTTTTAGGTCAATAGGGGCCTCTAATCCTGCTGCATAAGCCTCTCTTGATCAGAGCAATTTGCCCATAATCTTGTGCCAAAAGGATTTTGCTTGTACCTTCTTGGATTTCAATTTGACATAAAGCTAATCTTTTCAAAAATGGAAAGTTCACTTTATCTAGTTTAGGATTAATCCACTATGCAATGTTAGAACACAAAGAACATGGCCTTAACACATTGAATATGCATAAAATTATTGAGTATGGAATGGTTCAAGGACCTGTAATCAAGCATAAAGCAAGCTAAGTTCAGATTTGCAAAGTTATGAACATGTTTTGATGAAGAACAAAAGTGAATTTTTGCCAACTTGTGAAATTCGAAACTCTCAAGTTATGAGGTTGTTTGATGAGTTCTTGGACATTTTGGAAAGCTTCGAATGTGTACTACAATCCATCTTTGAAGTGCAAATCAAAATTCCAAGTGGAAGGGTATGAAAAGTGGCCTTGAAGTGGGGTAGAAAACCTTGTCAAAATAGGTTAAAATTTCACTAAGTTAAAAATGGTTTAGTGCCCTTATTCAAAAAATTGTAACTTGAGATACAAGCTTCAAATGAGAAAACTTTGTGAATAAAAGTTGTAGATTATGCAACAAGATACAACTTTCATGTTTTGACTTTTGTTTGAATCCAAATGGATCTTTGTGAAAAGATGGGGCAAAGTTGGGAAAAAATTAGGGTTTTCCATAACTTAGAAAAATTCTAAGTTATGAAAAATTCCATTTTCAAACCCTAATTTGCATTTTGTGATTTCTTGGTGAACAAGTTTCATGATTTGGCATGTTTTGATGAAAAATGAATCTTGACTCTTGATTTTGACCAAAAAGTCAAAGTTTGACTTTTCAGTATACAGTCAAAATTGATCAATTGACTGGGAAATTCAACTGTCAATCTTGTGCACTTGGGATCTTTTGAGCTTGATGAATGTGTCAAGACCATTTCATTGAGTCCTTGAGCCCATATGTGAACTTGGTTTGCCATTGGTTAGGTCAAACAGTCAAAAATTGCCTTTGTGCAGTCAAAACCCTAAAAATGACCATTTTGCCCTTTTGGTGATCTGATCAAATTTCTTGTGGAATTGTGATCCAAACTTGATCAAATGGTTCATGTGAGTTCATAATGTTGATGTGGATCAAATTTCATGAGGTTTGACTGTCAATTGGCCACAGTTGACTTTTTCCCCAATACAGCTGATTTCTAGGTCAACTGTCCAATTGACTGGGCAAAACTTGGAATCAAGACTTGAAACTTGGTATGGGTAAACTTGGGAGTCCAACATGAAGCATGAAAGTCATCTTAGGCATTTTAGGTCAAAACATCCTCAGGCAAACACAAACCCTAATTTGAGTCCACAGTGCAAGGAGAAGTCTTGAGCAGAAGAAACCCTAACTGGATCTTGATCTTCAAAGGTCTTGTGATGAGAAAATGTTGAGGAAATGGGAGGGAAAATTTTGGGGTACAACAGTGTGTGTAAACACTGTTAATGTTCTTATGTTCAAATAAATAATAAACCTGGATCATGGTATGATGCAGCTGAGCAGCAGATAAACCCTTAAGTTGTTCACATTCTTTGTCCCAGAAAACAAAGTTACAAGTTTTCCCTGCGTGGCATACTTCAATTTCTATATTATACTTATGATATCGGGAATAATTGTCATAATAAATAGAATTGCATAACATATAAGATTATACTTTTGAGGGTCAACTCATAGGTCAGATGAGAAGTAATAATACCTAAAGATCTCTATCTCAGTTGAATGATCAGCTTCACACTCAAATGGAGGTTTGTCACCGCGTGCAACTCTGGGGCATAAATGGCAGGCCCGATAATACCAGCCGAAGGGAGATGCTATTAAAATTTTGGTTTTGGCAACAATAGAACAAAATGTGATATGTATCAATAGTACATACCATAAACAGTAAATGAGGCAAAAGGCATCGCCAACACAATTAAATAAAAGTAGAAGTTATAGTAAAAGTCCTACATACGTCACGAAGTTTAATAATGTCAGCGACAAGCATAACAATAGCCTTAGAAAGCAACTTTTGAACATGAGTTTGTTGAGTATTTTGAGAGCTTTGTAAGGAAAGTTGAGAATTAGAGCCTAGTTGTCCAAATACACTAACCAAATAGTCTTTAGAGATGTTGCACGAATAATTCAAATATAAACCGTCTACATAACATAATCATGAATCCAACAGAGAAATGTTGACAATACATGTTAAACAGAATGTACCTGTCTATAAACTCTTTGATTGGAAGAAAATCAACATCGAGGTAGAGCATGGTAACATGGTTAGTGTTTGTGAATGACAACGGAAACTTCCTTACATTAATAAAGTAAGACGCAAGTTTGAGTGATTAAAAATAAAGCACTATTAATAGCAACATAAACCAACTAACCCTCTTCCTTGACTTTTGCATACTGAAGCAAAATGACAGTTGGACCAGACACATTAATCTGATTATGGTTGAACTTGATGAATTGGTCGGCATACGCCTCCCAAAGGGTGCAATTCATAGTGTTATTGCTAAACAAAGAGTACATTATAATGTTTTAAAACCTGGAGTGAATATGCATTCAAATAAGAGTGTCGTTGGGAGTAAATATACAAACCTGTGGTCCCTTAGTACCAAATTTACTTGTTGTTTTTTTGTCCCTGACTGTGTCTGTGAAAATCCAATATTGTCAACCATTCCAATGATGTCTTCCAAAAAGACAACATGGACATAAGAGTAAAATAATATATCATACATAAAGGTGTAAACAAAACAGGAAGAATATATGAACAAATGTTTGTTATCTATCATCACATCTTTGTTAAATCTGTCGGTGGTGATATCAGAAAAACTTGTAAACTTTAGCAGTTTGAGTGGTATTTTGTGTTAGTTATCATCACCAATGGATGTTTCTCGTGTAAACTTCACCATAAATTTGTTGTTGAACACGCCAAAGACCCCAGTCGAATGAAGTGTCCTTGCTTGGGTTGTTGTTATGTGGGTCGGGTTGACGCAGATGGATTGAAATCGCATTTACTAATGCGTGGAATTGATAGAAGTTATACGTGTTGGATATTTCACGGTGAAAAAAGTAATGACAATGTTGAACCGGGGGAGAAAAGTAGTACGGTCTATGCTTCAGACGACAAGGACACGGATACATACGATTTTGATCGAGTCGAAGAGATTGCATATGAACTTGAAGAAGATCTTCAGGATTGTTCCAAAATGTTTGAGAGATTGGTAAGCGATGTAGAGAAGAGTTGTATAAAGATTGCACTAAATTCACAAGACTGTCTGCGGTATTAAAGTTGTACAACTTAAAGTCGGGCAATGGATGGTCAGATAAAAGTTTCACAGAGTTATTAGCCCTTATGAGAGATATGTTTCCGGAGGATAATGTTCTTCCTAATCGAACCTATGAGGCCAAAAAAATGTTGTGCTCTATTGGCATGAGCTATGATAAGATACATGTTTGTCCAAACGGTTGTGTTTTGTTTCGAAACGAATATGCATCGTTAAAAGAGTGCCCTAAATGCGGTTTGTCTTGATATAAGAAAAAATTGTCTCCAACAAAAGTCTTATGGTATTTTCCTATAATTCCGAGATTTAGGCGCATGTTGATTTAATATTTCTCTAATAAAAGTAAAATATTATTTATATAATTGTTCATGTGAAAAAATATTTATTTTAAAATATTAAATCAACATATTCAACGTAGGAAATTAGAAATAGTTGTTATTGACAATAAAATTAAGCAAAATCAAATAGTCACACATAATAATATTTAACATTGATAAGATATTTTAAAATAAAAATTCACTTTAAATTTGATTCATTTTAAATATGAAACATAATTCTATAGTTAACTCAAATAATTTACATATTCATTTAACATATAAATGCATATAAACCCAAATGATTTTATAGTCGACTCATTTTGATATAAAATGGTTTGTGTTTACATAAAATAAGTTTTAGTATATGTTTATATGCATTTATATAATCTTTATGTTACAATCAATTGAAAACAAATTAATATTAGAAAATTAATACAATTAACATCTATGAAGTACACAACATTGATAATAATTAATACAATTAACATCTATGAAGTACACAACATTGATAATAATTAAAAATATATATTAATTAAACATAATTATGATGTAGTTGTTGATATCTAACACTGATACAAACACATAAATTTTTTTTAGATGTGTCGAAATATTTTCTAAGTTGAATAATATTTTTCTAATTAAACTAAAAAAAATTAAGGGTGAAATGTTTAGTCACTCCTAATTAACACACTAAAATCATCCTTAGCTGGACAAGTGCAACAATTTGAAATTGTGAAAGGAAATCAAGATAAAATGAAAATCCTCAAAACCCATCAATCAAGTGCATTTTAAAGTCAACTAACTATAGATATTTAGGAACTTGGTGGAAAAATACACCAATGAATGATTATTTCAACAAACTTTTCTTCTTATTGGTCCTTACACCAACCACCTAACTTGAATTATCTTACACTACATATACGACCACTTATCAAGAAACTAAATCATTAGTCTTCCCAACAAAGAAATAAACAAAATCATGTTGAGCACATGGAAAATAACTTATATACACTTTTGAGAAAAAGTTGAGTACGTTCCATATTGTCCACAATGTTAGGTGAAGTGCGTTCCATCAGCTTATCACTAACAGCCTCCAATTCCACCTTTTCAAAAAGCTCCTGCCATTGCCATATTATACTCATATATATGAGTGGAAGGCTACATACACATGACACATCCAAGACCTACCATGAAACTCCTTACCTTCTTTTACTTCATGTTTTTCATCATCTTCATGCAATTAAGCAGCACTGCGTTATCACTGCGTAGTACTCATCATTCAAAGACATGCAACGGTTCCATAGGTGAATGCAATGAAGTAGGTGAAGAATTGATGGAGTCAGAAATAAGCAGAAGGCTTTTGGAACAAAGAAGATACATTTCTGAAGGAGCTCTAAAGAGAGATAAACCAGTTTGTAATGGCGGTGCAGGTGGTGAAGCTTATAGTAGATCTGAAGGGTGTATTCCTCCACCTTCAAATCCTTATAATAGAGGATGTTCTAAGTATTATCGTTGTAGGTCTGATTCTTGAAATTGAAGTTTCATGCAAAACTTCTTTTTTTTCTGTCCATTAAATTTGATGGATTTTTGTGTGTTTGGAAATATAATGAAATTTTATAAAATAATTATGTGGATATACCGCTGTGTCACAACAATTGTACCATGTGGATATGGATATGCAGATGTTGAAATTTTAGAACAAAATAAAAAATTATTGATCTATAATTTGAAGTACCAAAATTTAAAATTGATTTAGTAGGCGTAGAATGAGAAAGACAAACTATGGAATTATTAATATGACCAATAATAGTCGAGGGTAGTGATGTATCGCCTCGTTATAAGGATCTCTTGAACGCTCTTCGATGAAATTGACTGCTTGTTTATCAGATGTGTTGCTCATTCGTTAAATATGTCGACCATTTCTGAAATAATCCACCCGACGTGGGGCACGAGAAGTTAATCATGATCCTCTAGATATCAGAAGATTTACTGTCCATTTTCTCATCTTCGCAGAAGTTATTACTATTTTTTAGGGGCGTAGGATCTAGGCCCAATTCGATATAAATACCTCAACTCTGAAGTTGAGGAGGACAATCTGATTCTCACACAAAAAACCACATATGAGTTTCTCACCCCCTACGTAAGTCAGCTTTAAACCCTACAACATATCTTAAAACCTCTGACAGTCCTTAATTATTAGGGGTTGTCACGTATTATACTTTTTAGTAAGTACAATTGACGCACACCGTGGACCCCTGATAAAATTGACCTGGTCCACCACAACAACACTATGTCGGATTTACATCCTCAAGTTCAACCTCTTTGACCATTATGGTGAACAAAAAGACAACAACTCTGATCAGCAAAGAATTTGAGGGCGAAAAAAGCGTCATAACACATATGCACGTTGTTATAGATGATCTACGTCACTAGAACCAAGCTCCGGAGGATGATGTTCTCCATATCCAACAGCGTCAGTAGGGCAGGGACCCTATTGACGAGGAGGAGATGCTAGACCTCCAACCTCTTTCATACGAGATATGAGAGGTGTCTGTTCCAAAGAACTTTAAGTCGCCTTCATTAACTAAGTTTGATGTGCGCAACAACCTTTATGAACATGTTCTCTCCATCAATATGACCATCATTGGAGCCCCTGACTCCTATAAATGCAAACTCCTCTCTGCCACTTTCAGAGACACAACCCTAAGATGGTACTCGGTTCTCCATCACTAGCTATCAGGACTTTGTGAAGAAACCAATCTATCAATTTACAGCAAACATGCACTGAAAAATGTCTACTACCAATCTCTTCAACATTCGTCAGGGTACCTCTGAATTCCTAAGGGAATACCTCGTCCACTTCAATGCATCCCAACCAGAAAATATTTGTAGAAACATTTTAGAATAGACTCAGAGCAATCACGAAGGAATCAGTTTACAATATCCCATAGAAGTGTTTGCTTGAGCTTTCAAACTCTTGGGAAAAATACTATAAAAATATATTTCTAGTAATATTGAAAAATTAGTTTGAGCAACTTCTGAAAGAATTTTTTATTTATAATTAATACAAAACGAACAAGAAAATTTTACATATGAATTCTAAGGGAAGTCGTTCATTGTATCTATGCTTAAAAATTAATAATTGAATGTATATTCAATGACCTATACTTTTCTAATCATTCTAAACTAACATAACAGACACTGTTTTTTGACGATTAATTTGAATACTGACTGGTAAAAAAATAGTGGCGCCAATATAGGCAAACTCAATATAATTCTCATAACGCAACAGCTAGTAAGAATGCCATTGTGATAACAAACAAGGGATGAAGTCATTGTCCTAAGTGGTTAAACAAAATTAGTTGGCAGGACTCTTAATCAGCTATGTGACTCACTCATTATGTGAGGAAGAATAAGCAGACGAACTAGCCATAAATTCCAATCTTTGTAAACTGCTCAATGATCCAATTGTGCGTACTTAAGCCATAATTAACTCTTTTCATTTTCTGTTAACGATAGAACAGAAGTATACATAGGATAAGACATAGCTAATCTAGTGTTTTCAGCAATCAAAATATCCAAAGGACAATGTCTTGATACATTATTTCTGAACTTCAAATTCATCGAGATTCCCAATCCTTCAATTTTTTGCTTCCTTTAGGCTTTGCTATAGGTGCATTCATGGCTGCCATTCTCTCGTTATACTTTGCACGTAGTGGATCGTTGTAAGTCCACCTGTATCACAAATCAGCATTAAAAAAAAGAACATTAGAGCATAAAAATGCATCGCTAATCCAAGTATAAAAGTATCCTTGTATCTAGTTGCATGGTATGCAAAATGAACGAATCCAGTGCACTAATGAATCCAAAATTGTTCGCATGAGATCGGACAAAATAAAAGTACTAAGCAGCATAAGGACTTCAGAAAGTTACTTTAATCACAAGGTTAGCTATATGGATCACAGATTAATCTATAATCCATATGTGAATCTAGATTTCTTTAAAAAATATACACACACGGCGCCACAGCAACTTTTTGTGATAATGTAGCAAATGCTACCTAAATTTGCAAAAGCCCATTTCACTAATGATTATCAATACATACTAACATGACTGCAAATCTATCAACCTAGAATGAGAATGCATGACAAAATTCTGGTGAAAGAATAAAAATAAGTCCCTCCTGGTTTTAAAAAATCCAAAAACTGCACCAATTCCAAAACAAACAAGGGTTCCGTTGATGATAAATTTAGCATTTCATATGGGGCCTAAAGACACCGAGAGAGTAATCTACCTTGAGCAAGATAGTATTAATGTAGAATCATAACTTTGTAACTGTTGTTTCATACTCAAGGGCGGAGCTAGAACTTAGTGATTCATAAAAGGACAAGGAAATTGAGGCACACCTAAACTTTTTTTAAAGATAAAAGGTTAAGAATTTTTTGAGAAATTTGAAATGAATCGTTAATTATGTAATACAAATTTATTCAGAAGTTTTTTTTTGGGACTAAATTGAAGGAAGAAGATGGAAGTTGGAAAGAGAAATTAAGGTCTTCTAGATAGATAGTAGTTTACTTTCATTGTTTACACATATCCAATTCTTTCATTTGGTGTTAAGTTTCAAGTTTGAGAGCATATACTATTTCAACAAACAAGCCTTTATCAGAGTTAGTTAGCCCAGCACCCGATTACACTGAGATGGCCCCTGGGAGCTAACACATAGTTCTGTCCCTCATGCTCTCTTAACTTCGCAAGCAAATGAAAAAGAAAAAAAAGTAAAACCAGAAAGGACTATAAACGCAACCAGAAACATAGAAGACATCTTTCAAACAAAATGCATTATAAAGACATGTAATGTAATAGCCACTTAGTCTTCTTAAATCCCAATTAATGTTTCCTATCATAATCAACATTTCACTTCACCAATTTCAGTTTAGACCTAGGTTTCTCAATATCATACCAAGAATGTAAAAGCACTGTCCAAGACCATTTTTTACCAGCGTCAGATCAAATGAACTTCAGAAGAACAAGTGAAGAAAGAAGCAATATATGTTTTGGCAGGATAAAAGAACAAAACAGTAAATATCAACTAATAGAACATTTAATCTACCACTATTCTTGAAATATATGTAAAGGAAAGTGAACTTACGGGTTGTTCCAATCAGTAGTGTCCTCATTGACCAGATGTGACCATTTAGTTCTTCCACTACGACCAAAGTGCTTGACTTGCATAACCTTAGGTAATATCGTCTTGTCCATTTTATCTTCCCCAGTTGGTGCTGAGAAATCACGCGTGAAAATATTGTCAGTTCCGGCAGTGGCAGCTCGATCGTCAGAATTAGACTGGAAGAAAGCACCCTTGTGATAGTATTTCTGCATAAATCTCCATTTCTGCTTTGACGATTGAGAAGGTTTTGGATTCTTCCTTTCCCACTCTCTCCTTTCTTCCTCTGTCATGTTCCTCACCCTCTCAACCTCTTCTTTTTCCTTCAAGAGAGCCTCTCTATCCTCTCTATCCCTCTTGATCCTACCGATCTCTCTCACTTTCCAAGCTTCATATTCCTCTGCCTCGTTGATTTCATCATCAGTATCCACATCAGCAATATTTGCCTCCAATTCAACATTTTTCTGGATTTCCTCATCCTTCCGAATCTCCTCAACAACAATCTGCTTCGTCTCAATCCTCCTTTGCTCCAATCTCCTTTTCCTTCCTTCCTCAAGAGCCTCCTCTTCAGCTTCAAGACGCTCACGCTCCGCAATGGTATCTCTCTCCGACTTGGGAACAAACACAGGCTTCACCATAGCTACTCCAGTATATTCCTCATCAGAATCAGTCTCATATTCCGACTCCTCTTCCTCCTCTTCTTCCTCCTCCTCCTCTTCCTCTTCCTGAGGAAGAGCTTCCTCTTGTTCCCTCTGAAGCAACTTCTCCTTAAGCATTCTCCTTCTCTCCGCCATAGCATCCTCATCTTGTTCTTCCAAATCCAACCCCTCCTGCCTCCTCGCCTCCTCCTCAATAGTAGAAACAATTTCCGCCTGCCGAATCCTCCGATGATCCGCCCTAACTTCCTCCCTATTATCTATCCGACTCTCAGCCAACCTCCGAAGCCTACGATCATCTTTCCTAACAATAGCAGTATCTTCTTCGTGCCGAGGAAACACTTTATCCAAAGCAGCTTCCCTGGTGGACCTAATATCACCAGAACCATCTTCATTCTCCTCATCAGCCCATTCGGGAACTTTACCGGGCCAATAACGCTTCACTTTTGTTTGGCCAATTTTACCTCTAAGCTTATCCCTTACAGCTATTACTGTATCACTAACACCTGCTGTCACCGACATCGCTCTTCAACTAAATCACAAATTTTATCCCTTTTTCCTTCAAACCCTAATTTTAACAGAAACATAAAATAAATTCAAAATTCACAAAATCTCGAAACCCTAACAAAGTAATAAAATGTGAGAGCGCTAACCTTGGAAACAACGACGGTGGTGAGGCGGAGGCGGAAACTACGGTGGCCGGAAGCCTCTGTTTCTTTCTCCTGCGATTAAGCGTTGTCGTTCTCTACCAGGTTATTGGGTTCTGTGAATATCATATCATACAATATGAAATTGTAACAAGTAATTAACTTTTTTTATTTTCTTTAATAATAAATCTATAAATATCCTTTTATTTGGTATACAAACACCAACGGTCCCATGGTCTAGCGGTTAGGACATCAGACTCTGAATCTGGTAACCCGAGTTCAATTCTCGGTGGGACCTAATATAAATTTTTTTCATTTAATATTTGAATTTATATTTTATGCTCATACATTATCTTAGCGTCTAAATTTTTCGAAAAAGGAGGCCACAATATTCAGGCAAATTATTTTATACATTATATTATCAAGTTTTGTAATTTAGAATGGAAAGATTATATATATATATAATAGTGTTTTAAAAACTTATATCAATGATCAATCAATTCAAATTACATAATCACTAATTTACCGGCATGATGGTTAAACTCACCGATATCAAATAAATTTAAATTTTATGTTATAAATTTTATATTTTAAATTAGAGATGATTAACAAAAAAGTTAATAGTCAGTTCGTCTCTTATCATTTTGATGAATTTTGAAAAACTCCATTGTAAAAAAAATTTAGATTCTCACATTGTCATTTTGAGATTCCACTATTTTCACCCTTCATTAAACCATGTCACTCAAATGGCTTACATAGATTTGCTGAAATGATTTTTATTTAAATTAAATCTATTTTTATATTCCATATGTCATTTATTTATCTATATTATAAGATTTTTTCATTTAAATTAACATGAACCCTAAATTTTACTTCTTCCCGTTGTGTTCTTCTTCTTCCTTCTTCATCCTTCTCATTTTGTCCTTCTTCTTCATTCTTCTCACTGTGTTTCTCTAAGTATGGATGAGAGTTCGAAGAACAACATGTCATCAGAATATCTCCTAAATATGGACACGATATGTCAATGAAGGTTTTCGTTTTCAAACTGCTGCAAATCCAAGGAGAAAATATTGGAAGTGTAAATATTGGGAGAAAGAAGAAGATTGTCAGAAATTTTATTGGGGTGATGAATACTTTGGCTCAATTGATAGGAAACGAATTGTAGATGTCGATGATGGGTGCAGTCGTTGTGATGTAATGATTGAGCATTTGAGACAATTTGGGCGAGATTTCGGGAAGGAATTTGGAAGAGAGCTTGGGTCCAAAATTAGTTCGGAGGAGATGAAAGATTTGAAGAACAAGCTGGAAGATTTGAAGAACAAGCTGGGGAGCACAAGGAAGAAATTAGTTTTTGTAGTTGTTGTACTTGTATGTTCCTGGGTTTACTTTGGTGTAATGTTAGCATAATATTATATGTTCCTGGGTTCATTTTGGCATAATGTTAGTGTAATCTTAAGTGTTGTTGTTGTACTGTAACAATCATTTGTGAACAAAAAGTTTGACTTGAAATGAATTAGTGATTGACACAAAATCTGAGTTAAGAATGTTTGTTGTGCATTAGTTTTGTTAATAATTGTATCAAATAAAGGCATACCATAACAACATAACATGACAGAACTTGGTCCAAATAAAGACATAATTTCCATAAATTTACAACAAAACAGATGACAGCAGTTGTTAGAAAATACATTAGGTCTCATTGATAAATAAAGGCATAATGTCATAGTAGTTGTTACAAAAAACATAGTTTTCCAAAATGACATTACAACTAGCATACTAACATTACAAGTAGCATAATACATTTGTCCAAAATGACATCATAAGATAACAGTTGACATTACATATAAGAGTCTTCCAAAATGACATAAAATGATCACATGTACTTGAAACATACGACATTATTGAGACAGATTCTTAGAAATTTCTTCCCATTATTTCATATTACGCACACAAGTTCCTAACTTAGGGACAACATCTTCCAATTGTGGAGAGTCATCAATTTCCAATGGTGCTTCAGGTGTTGAACCTGCCCCACCTCTTTTTTGTTGCCTGAAGATTGACTTCAGCCTTTCAGTACTCCTAGCAGGTTTTGGTGCTGGTGGTTTCTTCTTCTTGCCAACTAAACATGTCTTGTTAGCATGTATATTCTTTGGTGATGGTTGAACATCCTCATTATCTGCAGGATGAGTCACTTGAGTAACTTGTGATGGTTGAGCATCCTCATTATCTGCAGGCTGAGTCACTTAAGTAACTTGTGATGGCTGAGCATCTTCATTATAAGTGGCAACCCATTTATCAATTATAGCATATAGTTCTGGATCATGGAAAGGATCTCCAACTGCAACTATTTCATTCTCAACTACAACCGCCTCTTCCTCAGTTGCAGGTTTCTCAAGTCTTGATGTTTCACCTTTGTTCTGGGTGTTTTTCTCTGCATACATAAGTGATAATCAGAACACAGAAGTTATATATCAACAATGAAAAGCATGACTTTTACCTTTTTCTTCAATGCATTGTTGTCATGTTTTGTGCTTTGATATTTCCTTGAATATGACCAATTTTATCATATTTTGTGCACCTATATGACACACCAGCAACATGAGCAAGTTTTTTTTTATCTAAATCAACAATAAACTTCATCCCATTGAATGTATGATGGACTTGACATATCTGACACATGCTCCACGTTGGCAGCCACTGATCACTCAACATCACTTCCTTATCAAGTCTCTTCCTAGGTATTGGCATTACACTATGTTTCCATTTATCTAGCTTAACTAAATTTGTTGTAACCCTATTCATTAGGTAGTTCCTTGTCCACTCACACATTGTGAGAACAGGCTTATACCTAGCTTGTAAAATAGTGTTATTAAAGGACTCATTAAGGTTGTTCATTAATACATCACACTTTGGATAAAAGCTAAAGGAATGCTTACACCATAGTTTTGTAGGGACTCTCATTAGCCATTATCATGCCTTTTTGTCCAATATCTTTAGCTCAAACATCTTCTTCTCCCGTGATTTGTAGTATGTTGCTTTTGCTGCTCCCATTAGTAGGTCTCTTATTGCATATCCACCTCTGAACTTCTTCTTGAAGTTAGCATAGAGATGCCTAAGACAAATCTTGTGTTCAACTTGTTCAAACAAATCCCTAGGAAAAGTGTGTGTCCCCACCCATGTTTTTAATTGATATGTATGCCTATCACCCACTTTACTACACAATGCTAAAAAACCACATTTTCCCCTACACTCTACCCTAACCTTATAGCTTTCATTCTTTACAAACTTAATTTCCCTCCTATTCAAAACAGACCACTCCCTTATGGCATATTTGAAATCACTAAGTGAATTAAGTTCCATACCAAGTTTGAACTGAGAATCTTTGTTCATCAACTCACCTCTGAACTTATCATACTTAGGCATATTTTCATTACCACTATCATCAGGATCTGAGCTATCTAATTCTTCATTACCATCATCCTCAACTTCTCTTGAAATGTTAGTGGGGTTCCTTATAGAACTAGAGCCCGTTATTTTTGTAGGAACCGATAAACTTATCTTAGAGGGGCTCTTCAACACCCTTTGATTCTTTTTAGACCTTAACTTATACCTAACATCTTTTCCATTGATCTCAACCCTGACACCACTGTTTGGTCTTTCCACATCAACTCTCACAAACCCTTCATTATTTTCACAGGTTCTTTCTTCTTCACTTTCATCAAACCTAATGCCTCTAACATCGTCATCACTACTTCCATTGTCACCAATATTACCATAAAGGCTATCTACATTAACTTGAAGAACATTAGGACTTGCAACCTTGCGCATAATATCTGCTACATCGTGCTTAACCCAAATATGGCCATCAACTTTGTCATCAACGTTGTGTTTGGAAATTGCTCCACTTGTAACATAATTAAATACTTGAATAAATCCTTCACAATCCCTAGGATTTTTGTCCACAACCTAAACCCATTATACCCCCACTCCTTAACTAAGCTCAGAGCCTCAAAAAAACTTCAAGTATCAGTTTCTTGACTTTCCACTGTTGTGTCAGCTCCCCCTTATAAAATGTGAACTTATCATGTACGAAATTTCCACCATGGTGGAATATGACGCTGAAGACGTCCATTTCTACAAAGATGGAAATACCCAACGATTAAACTATTAGGACCACAACGAAAGTACAGTAAAGAAGTTATAATGTTAAACAATGCTTACCTTTTTGCAATCGTACGTTGTTGTCAGGATGCCACGCTTTCTAGTTTCCACACAATATCCAACGATTCAGACGAAAACAAGAGAGAGAAAGATGACGGTCTAGGGTTCATGTATTTTAACCCATGTCTTTATAAGGTTACAATGTTTTTTTACAACAAGGTTACAATGTTATATTATAAGATAAATGACATGTGAAATATAAAAAATAAATTTAATTTAAATAAAATCCATCTCAATAAATCCATATAAGCCAGTTGGGTGACTTGGTTTAATGAAGGACGAAAATAGTGGAATCTCAAAATTATAAGGTGGGAATCTAATTTTTTTACTGGGAGTTTTTTCAAAACTCGCCCAAATGGCAGGGGCGCGAACTGACTATTAACCCTTAACAAAATTAAGTTAATGTATTAGAAAAATATCATGAAATATTTTTATTTTCTTAAAATTTGAATGTTACTATTAATATTTTTTTACTCAAAATAACATAATATATAATTAAGGCAAACAGATAATAAACTACGTGTTGTCTCTTTTTGGATGAAAAAATCAATCATTTTAAAAACTATATTCATTGCCATATGATACATAACATTGTTATGCATGAGCGTTTTCTCTCTCTATAAAAGATTCAGTGTTTTTAGTGCTAGAATATCA